AGAATCAGGGATACAACAATAATTATTCTTAGGGCTATAGGGTTATGATTGTCATTCACCTCTAAACACTAATAAACTTATATTTTACAGCAGTTTGGGTGTTTTTTTTTTATTATTATTATTATTATTATTATTATTATTATTATTATTATTATTATTATTATTATTATTATTATTTTCGTTAAAAAACGTTTTTTGGCAACCACACTTTTTTTTTCACTAATGATGCACCTTTGTGATTTAGCATCTTTTTATTACAATGACGCGCCATGTAAACGACATCGTTAGACACGTCATCAAATTCTTCCAATTTTGCAAGCATCATTTATGCAATTATAGATGGGCCAATTTTCAAAGTTCAGTGACCAACAGGGGATGTTTTTAAGTTTGTGGACCCGTGAAAACTTTAAGAAGAATTCGATGACTATTCAGGAACTAACTCATTGTTAGTCTCCAGGATTATTGCTTTGCACCATCCTTTTATTATTAGTTTGACAGAACTTTTGTTTATTACTTCTACTTTGGTAGAAGGGTTTTTTCAAATGAAGTTTAAAACAAGTACATCCAAAATATTATCAAATATGTTTAAAAACATCTTTTTAATCACTTTTTGACTTTTTAAAAGTATTGTAGAAGGGCCTTTAGTGTATTCGTGTTGACCAAAAGCCTTTTAGGCTTACGTTCCCATTGTCAAGCTCATATTCTTGAATGCTCGAAGGTTATTCATGTTTAATTCAGATTTGATTGGTTTATATGTGATCGATTAAGATGCTTATATTTTAGTTTACATAGAAAAAGAAAGGAACGTTCATTCGTAAAGACAAATAATTGTGAGCAAATTGAGTACAAGATTTGATCAGGTGTTTACTTGTTTATTTAAATGCAAATGATCCACTTGATCGAAGATTCTGATTAAATTAACATTTTACTTAAATGCATAATTGTCCTATTCCCGACAAATGAATATGCAAAAAAATCAGGAAAAGGAAAAAGGACAAAAGCCCTAGGAATTTTTAACTATGAAATCTTAGATATGTGTGCTTTTGTTTGTTTTTTAGGGTTCTTGAGAGTGGAAATTACAGCATGCAATTTGTCTCCACTTTGTCTTAGAAGCTCCCCAAGTTTCTAATCAATTATATTAGCAAATTGCCTAAATTATTGTTTGAAAAACTGCAGTTTACCCTAAATTTGTCTGCTTTAACTATGTTTATGTGTCGATTTTCATTTAGTTAATTGGTTTCTCCGTCGTTTTCTGAAAGACACAACTAACTCTCAAGCACTTATGATAGGAATACGAATCTGTTTTAAGGATACTGTGTAAACACAGACACGGATTTGCTAGTATTTATTTTTGTTACAATTGTTAATGTTTTGTTTGTTCTTTCTTTAATTACTAAATATATTATCACACTGGTAACTTTTGTATTGTATAATCCAATGATATAAATAAATTAATAAGCTGACTAAATAAACATTAGGATTCCTAAAAATGTGCATTATTTTCAATATATTTCTATTCGTTACATTAAGAATTCAAAATTTCGAGACTTGAATGTGGACACATATTTATGGACGTATTTTTTAAGTTGAATTGTGGAAGACCATATATAAATAAAAGAAAATAGATTTATGTTAAAAATATATATATATATTTTTAAGTATAATCATATCTATCGACTGTATTGTATAATTATAATAACTATTTTAAGTATCTAGGTTCAAATAATTGTTCATATGAAATTTGTTATTTGTACACGTCCCTCACAAGAAGGGGGTCCGTGCCCCAATAAAAAAATGCACGCCCCCTCCTTGTGAGAGGAGTGTAAGCGCCCGTGTACATATAACACAGCCCTTGTTCATATTTCTATTGCAGATAATGGGAAATGGAGCATTGGATACTCTTTCCATGGTGAGAAGGAAATTAGCTAAGAAATAAATAAGGCAGCATTGGATTCTCTTCCATAGGGAGAATTTGTGTACTTGGAAGCTACTCAAACTACTTCAAAACAAAGTACTGATAGAACCAAATAATGTGCTAAATGTATGAGTGTGTAGTAGGCAAATTCTGTTGCAACATCCTTTAACATGACTATAATACCGCCGATTAATTTCATCTACATTGATACTTTGTCACGAGAACACTCAAGTCTAATCCTAGTCCAAGGCTACCTAGATAGTGGCTTGAGCCCCATAAAAAATTAAAAGCTCAATGATGAACCCTTTTTATTATTTATTTATTATTATTATTATTATTTTTTAATTTGGGGAAGATAGTAAAGAAAATTTGTGAATTTTTCTTGCATTAAATATTTTTTTGAACATGTACTAGTGCTAATATAAGCAAAAAGTTGTCTCCTGTCCAATAATTTTATTATTATTATTTTTTTTAATAATGATTCATGATTAATTTCTATTCTTCATATTTGATTGCTTCCTTTTTTTTCTTTTTTTTTTTTAAATATAGGATATTTTGGACAACAATGGTGGTCACCACCCACATACCACACTGGTTTCCAGACGCCCTTTATATTCTATTTCTTGAATGCAAGAATTGCTTTTAGTATAAGTGAAACAATGAGTGACTACCATCGATATATATTTTTCATCAATATATATATATATATATATATATA